TTGCTTATATGTTGTTTCATGAAATTCTTCTGTGTCTTCCAATTCCTTTCGATACAGTGACTCAGTATATTCCTTCCATCTTCTTTTAATACTTCCCGGATCATTTAACATTCTGCCGAAAGCATCTTTGATTATAGCAACTCGAGGTTTGGACAGAGCTTCAAAATTCTAGCCTCCAAGGAGAAACATGAGTTAACCCTTTCCAAGACCAACCTATTTGTTTTCTTGGTGGTAACATTGTGTGTTCAAAACTCTTCTCCAGCACCACAACTCAAAGGCATCAATTCTTCTTCTCTCACCTTAGTCATTATCCAGCTCTCTGATGCATAGCAAGTAATTGTGAAGAACATGGCCTAGATCAGGTGCACCGTACATAGTCTCTAGACTGATGTTGTTGCTTCTCAGTACTCTGGAAGGGTCCCTGACAACAGACTTGTTGTTGTTATGTGCCGTCGAATCGCTTGTGACTCATAGCGAGACTTACCTAATGTAATTCATCTTTTGATTTCCTGACTGCTGATTCTGAGAGTATTAATTGTGGAGCCAAGCAAACTGTAACTGTTAACAATCTCAATCTCTTCTCCATTTATCATTATGCTGCCAGTTGGCCTAGTCGTGAGAAACTTGACTTCTTGATGCTGAGCTTCAGTCTATATTGAAGACTATAGCTCTTGACCTTCTGCAGCAAGCTCTTCAGGTCCACCTCGGTTTCAGCAAGCAGGGTTGTGTCATTTGCATGATATAGGTTGTTGATGAGTCTTCCTCCAATCCTGATGCCACATTTCTCATAAAGCACAGCTTCCCAAATGATCTGTTGTGCATATAGATTGAAAAGGTATGGAGGTACGACACATATCTGACACAATCCTTCCCTCATTTTAAACCATGCAGTGTTTTCCTGCTCTGTTCTGAGGACTGCTTCCTGGTCCAAGTATAGGATTTGCATAAGTGTGATCAAGATGTTCTGGGATTCCCATTCTTCTCAAGGTTAACCACAACTTACTGTGACCCACATAGTCAAATACCTTTGCATAATCAATAAATCCAGATATCCCTCTGGTACTTATTGCTTTCTGCCAAGATCTGACATTTGTTAATATCTCTAGTGCCATGGACTCTTCTAAACCCAGCTTATATTTCTGGTAGTTCTCTGTCAGTGTACTGTTCCAGTAGTTTCTGGATAATCTTTGGTTGGATTTTGCTACGATAATTTTCACACTCTTATCGGGTCACCTTTTTTTGGAATTGAAATAAATATGAATCTCATCCAGTCATTTGGCCAGGTAATTGTCCTCTAGATTTCTTGGCACAACCTGGTGAGCACGTCCAGGGCAGCATCTGTTTGTTGAATTATGTCAACTGGTATTCCATCAATTCCTGGGAGTTTATATTTTGTCATGTCTTTTAGAGCAGCCTGGACTTCTTCCTTAATTACCATTGCCTCTTGGTCATATGTTGTTAAAATTCTTTTGTTTTAGCAAATTCTTTTTGATACAGTGATTCTCTGTATGCCTTCCCTCTTTTTTGAGTACTTCCTGGATCATTCATTATTCTCCTTGTAGTATCCTTAAGTATCGCACCTCGAGGCTTGAATTTGTTCTTTAATTCCTTCAGCTTCAGAAATGCCCGACAAGTTTGGCCCTTTTGATTTTTGGACTCCGGCTCTTTGCACATTTCATTCTTAATGTTTTGCTTTGTCTTCCCATGCTGACCTTAATGTCTTGATTTCTTCCCTTTGTTTTGGCTTCTCTGCACTCTAGTGCAATATTCAGAGCTCTTCTTATATCCATTTTGGTCTTCTTCTGTCTTTTTTTTAATAAAATGTGCATTTATTGATGTTAAATCCATAGACCTTCTCTGTTAACATCAGATTTTTTCCCTCTTCTTTTCTTCTGTTTTTTTTTTAATTGAGATTTTAATGAAAGTTTATAGAGAACTTAAATTTCCATTCATTCATTGTTGCACATTTTCTTCCCTTCCCCCCCCCCAGTTTGCTTTTCTCTTTGGAATAAAAAAATTCTTTCATTGTTGTACAGTGCCCCGACCCCCAACCCCCACCAGTCTACTTTACTATGCAGCTCTTATTCTGGACTCTTGCCATCCCAATAATACTTAATCATATATTCCTTTTATACACTTATCTCCCTAATCTGTTTCAATGCCATGTACATTATTTATCCCCTCTTTTCTCAGTTTTCCCCCCAACCTTTTGCATTCTTCACGGATGAACTCTTGATATCCTCCTATAGCTCACCTGGTCTTTATCATCTGGTCTCATCTCATCATTAGTGTTAAAGGCCTCAAACATGTTCTTGAGTTGTTTTTTTTTTTAATTCAGTTGTGATAGACTCAAGATAAAATTTTAATTCCTGTGGATTTGATTTAACCTTCTTTAGATTTAATTTGAACTTCCATTTGAGAAGTTGATGGTCTGTTGCACAGTCAGCACCTGGGCTAGTTTTTACTGCTGATATTGAACTTCTCCAATGATTCCTTCTACAGATGTATTCATATACATTGTGTTTCACAGAAATTTTTATTTTTATTAGTAAACCATGTAAGTTTTGTTTTCTCATTGAAAAAATCAGATACTCATAATTAACACTGGAATTTACGGGAGGAAAGTTCTACGGTGGTTCTATTCTTTCCATCTCTGAGAGGGCATTTTTCCCTTCCCTATTAATTTGACTTCTGATTGCACTTCCTCTGACATTAACCTTTTTCTCTCCCCAGCTGAAGGAATTTGCTGTCCTCTCAGTGTGATTTCTGGTTCAGTGAATGAGTTTCTTGGGCTATCCCATTATGACTCCTGTATTGACCTTGTCACTCTTACCCCTTCTCCCTGGCCTGCTGCTGTGGCTTTGTTTGAATATTGTTATGGTGGAAATAGAAGGACATAATAGCCTCATGAGAGGAAAAGAAATGTATTCCAAATATAACCAGCATGACACTGACGTGATGCCAAAATGAACATTCAAGCAGGTTGGGAACTGTCTTTTCTGGAGTATTGACAGTTCCTCTACTTTTAATCATGGGCTGGTGCTACTGCACCACATCTCTATGTTAAGGCTGCACCCCACACACCAGTCTCCTAGCCTTTGGGTTTGTTGCTATAAGGCCTTAACAGTGATTTTTTTTTCCAGACCACCGTTCTTCATTTTTAGAATTGCTCTTTCCTCTTTCGAGACAAAAGAATAAACAAGCTACCTCTACCTCTTTGATAGAAGAGTAGTATGGTTTTGGCACAGTATGCCACCTGCATAATTCTCTATAATGTTTTTCATTTTTAAACAGATGCCATGTTTACTGGCACAGCAGATGGACGAGTTGTGAAACTTGAAAATGGTGAGGTAGAAACGATTGCCCGATTTGGTGACAGCTCGTGCAGTAAGTCACTGACCTGCCTTATGGCTGACCTTCTTTCTTTTGTATAGCAGCTTCTAGGTGATCCCTGGCGCTGCAGGAATCTCTGACCATTGGAAAGATATGGCATGACTGGGTTTTAGGCTGCTTGGATGGCTAGTCTTAGCCCTTTGGTTGCTGCTTGTTGCCACCCAGAGACTTGGTACTTGATTGCTATTTCTTGGAGCTTTGTTGTTCATTAGTGCAGACTGTATTCGCTCCTCTGGTGACTTAAGGAAAATTACTGAGTGTTGTCATCAGTGCTACTATAGAAAAAGTTGACTCTGCCATTAGTTGTATATTTAAATTCAATTCCTGCATTGGCTTCTGAAGACTTTAATGGTATCATTAGAAGTGTAATTCAATTCAGTCTTTTAGTTATTTAAAAAGTTAAAGTAGATGAATCTTAGTGTTTTAAAAAGTCAAAGCTCAGACATCTTTTTCCATTTATTGTAGAAATAAATATATATAACAGAAAGTATGCTATTTTTACCATCTTTTACCAATGTTTTTACCATTTTTAAGTGTATAATTTGGAGGAATTCATTGCATTCACTATGTTTGTTTTGCAGCCATCTCCATTGTTTTCGTAGGTTTTTCATCACTCTAAGCAAACTCAGCAATAGTCTTTAAGCAGTACTACTTTCTTTCTTTTCTCCCACCCAGCAGCAAGAACTATAAAAACACTATATTGTTTAGGGAATTGACAGAAAGTCAAGCAGGATTTTGAAGTGAATATGGCACCAGGGATAATCACTACTGATGTCAGATGTATCCTGGCTGGAAGTAGAGAATGCCAGAAGAATGCCTATTTGTGCTTTGTTGAGTAGTCAAAGGCATTTGTGTAAGTCATAACAAGTTATGGCTAACATTGAGAAGAATGGGAATTCCAGAGCACTTAGTTGTACTCATGTGAGACCTAGACCAAGAGACTATTGTGAAAATAGAGCAAAGGAACACTGTTGTTGTTGATGATGATGATGGTGTCAAATACCATCAAGTATGACCCACAGTGACCCTATGAACAACAGATCTGAACTCTGTCCTGTCCTGTGCCATCCTTCACACTCAACCCCATGACCTTCTTCGAGAAGCTGAAATATGTGAAGAAGAATGTGGCATCAAGATTGGAGGAGGTTTCATCAATAGCCTTGTTATGCAGATGACACAACTTTGTTTGCTGCAAGTGAGGAGGATTTGAAGCACTTGTTGCAGAAGATCGAGGAATATAACCTTCAGTATGGATTGCATCTAATGTGAAGAAAACAAAAATTCTTAACACTAGACTGATAGGCAACATCATCATGATAGATGTGAAAGGATTGAGTTGTCAACATTTACATCTTACTTGGATTGACAGTGAACTCTTGGTACCAGCAATCAGAAGATGTATTGCACTGGGGAAAATCTGCAGTCAGTAACCTCTCCAAATTAATGAGCAGTGATATAATTTTGAGGACTAAGGTGCATCTGATTCAAGCCATGGTCTTGCCAATCACTTGCTGTGCATCTGAGTGCTGGATAATGAATAAAGATTACAGAAAAAGAATTGATGCCTTTGAGTTGTAGTGTTGGAGAAGAGTACTGAATACCATACCCTATGGACTACCAAAAGAACAAATAAGTCTTGGAGAAAGTACAGCCAGATTACTTGTTGATGGCAAAGATGATAAAATTATGTCTCATGTACTTTGGACATATTTGCTAAAGAGGGACTATTCTTTGGAGAGGGACATCATGCGTGGAAAAGTGGAGGGTCATCAAAAGAGAGGAAGACCCTCAACCAAATGGATTGACACTGCACGAGTGTGTCAGGAAGTATGAAGATGGCACAAGATAGGGCAGGGTTCAGATCAGTTGTTCATAGGGTTGCTTGGGTCATACTTGCCTCACTGGCATCTAATAACAAGCACCACCAACCAGCAACTGGTGAACTCTCATAAACCATTGTTTCCATGTCTTGTCTAGATATTTCCTATAAGTGAAATCATACAATATTTGTCCTTTGGTTTCTGTCTGTCTTTACTCAGTATAATGTTTTCATGTATCAAAATTTCATTTTTCACATCATTGAATAATAGTGTGCATATACCACATTTTGTTCATCCATTCATCTGGAGATGATTGCAGAGCTAGAAAGTTGGTTTTTTTTTAAATGTGAGAAATAGAACAAAAGCAAGTCACTTGAGCATCTTCTTATGTATAATTGTTAATATTTAATTAACAACTTTTCAGATCTTTTTTTTATAAATAAAAACAGACACAATACAAAGGATGATCATTGTGTGGTGGCTTGTGTATTGCTGTGATCTTATGTGTTGTGCCACTGGTACAGATTTCAGTGGAGCTTCAAGACTAGGAAGACTAAAACCATGTGTGTGTGTAAGTGTGTGCATCTTTTTTCTATTTCATGTTTTGTCAGGAAACATCCTGCAGTAAAAACGTGACAAGAAACATTTATTGCCACAAGGTTAAAAAGAGATTCTTAATGAAGCAGGAGAATGATCCTGAAAGATAAAACAGTAGTTATTCTTGGAATTGCAGCAGTGGGCTCAAGTATGTCAGAGATGGTGAGGTTGTAGCAGGATAGAACAAGATTCCGATCTGTTGTTCATAGGGTTTCTGTGACTTGAACTTGATTCAGTATCACCTAACAACAACATTCCTTTGTGGTGAGAGAGAAGGTCATTGTCATTCTCATTGTTGACCCGAGTAGTCAAGTCATGCTATTGGGAAAATTCCCAACAGAGCAATCTGGCATCAGTCCAGAGTCCTAATTTTATCCATTGAAATAGTTGTTCAGTGTTCAGATGCTGCTCTTGGGCAGGATTGCTGTGACTTTGTCCAGATTTTTGGACGGTCTCTCTAATACTAGGTTGTTGCAGAAGTTCTGAGGTTGAAGTACTAGGTGGGAGTTAGTGTTAATGGTATAATTCTTTTAATTCTGTGAAAATATGTACCATATATATTTGTATGGTGTAAGTGAATTATTTGGACACTGAGGAGTGGACTTGGAGGTTTGGATCAGGTGTTGATTCTTGTCTCTTTGTTTTCCTAGAAACCCTAGAGGATGAGCCTGCTTGTGGGAGACCGTTGGGCATCCGGGCAGGACCCAACAGAACCCTTTTTGTGGCTGATGCCTACAAGGGACTCTTTGAAGTAAATCCCTGGAATCGTATGTGACAGCATCTTATTATCTTCTCCAAGCCAGAATCTTTTAAACAGAATGTGTATATATAATAAAATGTCTTTAAAATGCAGTAATAATGAGAGCATTGACTAAAAATGTAGCTTATTGCAAGTACCATGCAGTGCTTGTTCATAGCTGTTTTATTCTGGCTTTTGTGCTTTAGCTATCATCACAGATGGTCTCACTTTGAGGATATGCCACCCATGATGATTTGTCCTTCTATCTTTACTTCTTTCTTTATCTCAATATTCCCCTGTCTCCATACCCTTTGTCTCTTTCTCTCTTTATTTTTTCTTTTCTCCAGTTTATCTCCCCTAACTGGCTATAATATATCACCTTCAGACAAGGTGATATTTGCCCAAGGTGCTTATCAGATGGAGACTTATGTTACAAGAAAGTCTGGTATTGTGAGTGAGCAGCACTGAGCTCAGGCATGTCAGATTACCCTTCTTAGACTCCCAACTCTGCTGTTTGCTGTGATGGAGAGTTTGCAGCCTCTTGGCCTGATGTAAGCATAGTAATAGTTGTTACTTCATTGCTCTCTCTCACTCATTTTAGGTCAAATCATTACCTACTCATAGCTGACCCTCCAGCAGGTTTTCAGAGACTGCAAATCTTATGGAAAGATTGTCCATCTTTATCCCATGGAGCAGCTGGTAGACTTGAACTGGTTGCATTTGGATTGGCTGTGTAACTCCTTATCACTAGGCTACCAGAACACCCTACTTGCCTCATGTTGTTGTTGTTAGGTACCCTCAAGTGGAACTCATAGTGGCCCAATGAACAGCCAACCTGAACCCTACCCTATTCTGTGTCATCATCTCCAACACACTCAGGCCAATTGCTGAAGTCACCATGTCAATAATCTTGTTGGGGGTCTTCTCCTTTGCCAGCCCCCCCACCTTTCTAAGAAATAGCCTTGCCTAGCTACATATCTGAAGCATGAAAGATGAAGCTTTGCCATACTTGCCTCTAAAAAACACCCTGGCTGCACCTTCTCCAAGACATATGTACTTATTCTTTTGGCAGTCCATGGAATATTCAGTACTCTCCCCATAAGAGACTTTAGATGAAATTTCATGGAAAGTCCTTAACCCATTGTGGTTAAGATAATTCCGACTCATACAGACCACATAGGACAGAGTAAAACTTCACAGTTGAGTTTCCAAGGTTGTAATCATTATGGAAACAGACTGCCACATCTAGCTAGTGGTTCAAACTGTAAAACTTTCAAATCACCACTGAACTGTTAACCACTGTATTGCTAGGGCTTGTGAACAGATCTTAGCACTCAGTACATACTTGCTTTTATTAATTTTTAAAACTTGCTAGTTATAATATTATTGTTGTTATTGTTAAATAGCGTTGTTATTAGCTTGGCTCTGACTTAGAGTGACCAATAGGTCATGTGTATGCTTGTGCATGTTTGTGCCAGTTATTGACAGTGTCATTCCCTTTTCTGGAGGGTCTGCTTTTTTACCAACCCTTTACTTTACCAATCATTCTGTCTTTCTCCAGGGTCTTGTCCTTCTCTTGGCATGTAAGATGAAGTCATAGCATTTTATTTTTGCATCCTGGCTATCTTTCCTCCAAGACACATTTGTTAGGTCTTCTTTCAGTCCATGGAATAGTCACTGGTTTTGTGTTCAACACAATTTGAAGACCTCAGTTCGTCACTGTTCTTTTTTTATTGTCCAACTTTCACATGTATCTGAAGCAAGTGTAAATACCACAGCTTGGGTCAGGCACACCTTAGTCCTGAAAGGGACATTGTATAAAAAAGAGTGCAGACTGCATCGGGGAAGCTCCACTAACTTTACAAGAGAACAGCCCCCTTAACAACCTCGATTGGACAAAACCTGGAGAGCAGAATTTCCCCATGCTTTCCCACCTGCTGCTAATTCTAACACCAACCATCTGACCCAGGCCTCTCACCGCTCTATTGCTGGATCTGATAATCTATTACAGTGGCCACACAGAACTCAGACTCTACTTGGAATTATGGGGTGTAGTAGGAAGTTAGTAGATTTCCAATTCACAATGGAAACAGGATATAATTCTTTAGTCAGGACAACTTCTCAAGTATTCAAGCAGGCCCTTTGATCTTAGTCTCACAGCTTTAGGTCCTTGTTTAGAAGCTCTCTTAACCTTGCCAATTATGAGCCCTCTTCTCCGTTCTTCTAATAAGCTTGAACAAAGGCCCCTGGTTCTGTGGGGTGGCAGCCTCTAGTCTGTAAGCTTGAACAAAGACTCGTGCTCTGACTTGTTCTCGGGGGTGGCAGTCCCTGCTTAGCTGTGTCTCACAAAGGTGGCAGCGGCAGCGGCTGCTGCTGCTGCTATATCTTAATCTTGGTCTTTGTTCACCTCTTATAGGAATCTTTGTGGCTCCAAAGGACTTCTTTCTTGGTGAGAATAACATTCCTGTGTTCTAACTGAATGTGCTCAATTGAAAGCTGGTAGGATGGCAAGACTAACCAATACCTTGTCTCCACCCAGACAAGTGGTGAATGTCAAAAGCCAATGAACTTGGAAAGCCATTTTCAACAATAGACCCAGCACACCACAGACATTGCTTTGAATAGGCTTTTTGAAGCCAGATGCATTTGACCAGTGCAGTTACATATTTCATTTCTTAACTGTTATTTCCACTGGCTTAGATTACTGATGCAAGAAGAATGAAATCCTTGGTAGTGATCAAATTTTCTCCATTTATCTTGGTGTTCTGTATTGGTCTCTTGTTGTGTGCCATCGAGTTGCCTATGACTCAAAGTGACCTTATGTACAGTATCTCTGAACCCTGTCCTATCTTGAGTTGAGTTTCACTGTCTCTGATACACCCACCCCCATTTCCCCAGTTACTGAGTCAGTCCATCTTATCTGGGGTCTTTATCTCCAGCTCTATCCCCCCACCCTTCCAAGCATGATATGCTTCTCCAAGGACTGGTCCCTCCTGGCAACATGACCAAAATATGTAAAACAGAGTCAATATCCTTGCCTCTAAGGAACAGCTTGGTTTCACTCTCTCCAGGGCAGACCTGTTTATTCTCTTGGCAGTTCACGGTATCTATGTTCAGTACTTTTCTCCAGCGTCATACCTCAAAGACATCAGTTCTTCATTAATCATTGTCTTTGGTCTAGTTGTAAAGATTTTCAAATATTCAGGAGTATTCCAGACTGAAAGCTATATTCATTTGATCTTCAGTACGTGTTTCAAATTGTTTTCAAAAGGCAAGCAATATTCTTTTATCTGTATATAACACCTTGCTGGTAAGTTGTCTTCAAAACTTGATGTTAAGTTTTTTATATACTCCAGCTTCTGGCATAATTTATTCAGCATGTAAATTGAATAAGGTGAAAAAATTACTTTCTTTAGCTTTCATTTGAATTTGTATATATGAACAATAGATGATCTGTTATGCAGTTGGTCCTGGCATTGCCTTCGCTGATAGTTATTTTCTCCATCTTTCCATAGATGTGGTTGACATGCCTCCTGTGTAAATCATCTTATGAAGTTAACATCACATGTCATTTGTGCTGTTAAAAAAATATTTTCATGAAATAATTTCTTGGTCTTATATTTAAGCTTTATCACCAAGGCTATATTTTTTGGTTTTCCCAACATTCACATTCATATCAGTAATATTCAGTGACTCCTAATTGCATGCTTGATCAATTTCAGACCACAGCATTTACCAATTTCAGACAATATCCTTTTATAAAAATCTTCAATTTCTTTATATTTACCATTGGTGGTTGGTATATAAATTTGAATCATAATTATTTTACCCAACAGTATTGTATTTTTTTATATAGCTCTTGAAATGTCACTTTTATTCCTGTTCAGTTTGCCATTCCTTATGTAGTTGACCATGATTGTCAGATTCAAAATGGATAGCACCAACCCGTTTCAGGTCACTTAATGCCCTAGCATGTCCATCCTCAAGTGTTTATTCCATTTTGTTTTTGACAACTCAACATTTTTTAATTCATACTTTGTACAGGCTGAGTTCCTATTATTAATGTTTATAGCTGTTCCTTTTAAGTTATGCTGTGTAAACAAATGAAGGTTCAGGAGGCTTTGCTCCATTCAAATTATTAAGGTCTGTTCTACTTTGAGGAAGTAGCTCTTTCCCAGGTTTATCTTAAATCACTCTATTAGTGTTTGTGTGATATGGTACTTAAAGTTTCATTCAGTCTTCTGAATATGTGGTATATATGGTTTTATTCCATGTTCAGCTCTTGTACATAAATTTTCCATTAGTTAATTTCCATCACTTGTCAGTTTGTATTATTGTTTGTTATTGTTATTAATAAGTGCCATCAAGTCTAGTACAACTCATAGCAACTCTGTGGAGCTCTGCCATAATCACAATCGCTGTCTGACACATTTCAGCCCGTTGCTGTAGTCACTATGTCAGTCTACCTGGTTGAGGGTCTTCTTGTCCTTTGTCATCCCTCCACCTTTCCAAACATGATGTCTGTCTCCAGGGATTAGTCTCTCCTAGCAACAGTGTCCAAAGTGTGTGAGATAAAGCCTCACCATTCTTGTCTCTAAGGAACACTCTGGCTGCACTGGTGTATTATTCTAGTGACTTGTTTTTCTGTAATAACTAGACGCTATATAACTAGGATCTCAAATACCACAGTTCATGGTCAACAGGATTCAGTGTAGTTTTTAAACTAAGACTAGGAAAAGAGTCTGGCAAATCTACTTCTGAAAAAGAAACTAATGAAAATGTTAAGATTAATTGCTATTACTACTTATTATTTATGCAAAAATAACATGAGTAGGGTATTTTTTTTTTCGTTTCTCACTAGCATACGCATAGAACTAAATTGCCTTTTACCTGAGTTAGTTATTTTAATAACTTTTTAAATCAGTTGTCCTCAATAGAAGAAAAGTTCAACATCCTCAGGAAGAGCATTTTGCCCTTAATAACATTAATCTAAACAAATGCATCATATAACACATACTTTTAAAAAAAAATTCTAAAAAGGCGATACAAGTAGATGTAGAGAAACTTATCATTGCTTTTTTAGAAAAGCCAGTTATACTGATTAATATTTATTTCAAAGTTATTGGACAATAAGTTCTTAAAATGAAAGCAAGACTTAGTTTTCCTTTTCTTTCCTTTTTAAAACTCAGGTGAAGTGAAACTACTCTTGTCTTCTGAAACACCAATTGATGGAAAGAAAATGTCCTTTGTAAATGATCTCACAGTAACTCAGGATGGGAGGAAGATTTATTTTACAGATTCTAGCAGCAAGTGGCAAAGAAGAGATTTTCTGCTTTTGATTATGGAGGGAACGGATGATGGACGGTAAGTATTTATTTTAGATCTATCAGTTAAACAGGAGGCTAACTTCAGAATTTACCACTTCTAGGAGATTGCTATAGTATTTAAGATAGGACCATAATCACTTCTGGAAACAGATGACGGGAAGTAGCGCAAGAAATCTGCCTCACTTTCTCTTTGAATATATCTAAAATTAAAACATAATGTGTAGTAAATATATTTCATTATATAAAAAGATGGCGATTTCTTGAAATGTTTTCAAACCAACACTGTAATTTCACCCTATTTTAGAGGGTTCCGTTTCTGCATATGTGGTTTTGACAGTTTCATTCAGGTTTTGTCTGTCAAGGAAGAAGGGCTGGCTAGGGAAATTTGTAGGCTTGGAGCAGCCTCACAGGAGACTGGATGGGAATTAATGTTAAGATGAAGAAAAACAAGCAGTTTTTTACATTCTAGACTAGAGTATGCCAGAATCCTCAAGTTCTTGGTTGCCTTCTGTCACTTTTACCCTAGTTCTAAATTCTTGAGATAGACCTATGAAGGTAGAGACAGAGGGTATAGAATTGTAAAAAAGTTAGATTGTCAGAGTGTGGTGTGCCCATGGACTAGAATAAGTATTGGTTTCTTTCCTGGGAGCCTCATCTGTGATGAGCACAGCACAGGTGTGCTGTGTTGGCTTTCTTCCTAACAGGTGACAGACAGATGTTGTTTGGGAAGGCCATATTTGGAACTTACTATACTGAAGGCTTCAGTCCTTGATCTTCTGCAGCAACCGCTTCAGGTCCTCCTCAGTTTCAGCAAGCAAGGTTGTGTCATCTGCATAAAGCAGGTTGTTGATTAGTCTTCCTCCAATCCTGATGCCACGTTTTTTCTTCATGGAGTCAGGTTCACAAATTACTTGCTTAGCATACATTCTTCAGTATGAATTGCATATCAGTGTCAAGAAAACAAAGGTCCTCACTACGGGACCAATAGTCAACATTATGATAGATGGAGAAAGTCTTAAACTTGTCAATGAATTCATCTTGTTTTATTGAACAATCAGCACCCTTGGTACCAAAAGTCAGGAAATCTGGAGACATACTGCATTGGGCAAGTTCACTGTCAGAGACCTCTCTAGAATGCTGAAGAGCAGTGATATCAGTTTGAAAACTAATTCAAGCTGTGGTCTTCTCAGTCACTACGCTGCATCAGAGAGCTGGACAGGAAATAAGGATGACTGAAGAATTATTGATGCCTTTGAGTTGTGGTGCTGGAGAAAAGTAATGAATATTCCATGGACTACCAAAAGAACAAACATGTCTTGGAAAAGATGCAGCCAGAGCGTTCTTTAGAGGCAAAGATGGCGAAGCTTTGCCTTTCATACTTTGGGCATAGATATGATGATGTAAATGATGCTATTCCTTAGAAAGGGACCTCATACTTAGAAAGATGGAGTGTCAATGAAGGAGAGGAAGACTCAACAAGATGGATTATTGACATGGTGACTTAATCATTGAGGTCTAATGTGTCAGAGATGCTGAGGGTGACACAGGATTGGGGCAGGGTTCGGGTCAACTGTTTATAGGGTCACTTTGAATCACACTTGATAGCACTTGACAAACAACAAAGATGTACAACAGCTGGTTTTGGGAACCACTTGTCACTATTTGTATCTATGTATAAAGCTTTGCCTGCTGTGAGATACTAGCATTCACTCTGCAGTACTTCTCCAGTGCTGCATCTGAAGTTCTTTGTCTTCATGCCACACTGACTTCAGTCACTGCAGACATGAATGTCAGACTCACTACAAGCAGATCTATGTAACCTATCTCAGAACTTGAAAGGTACACATGGTCTAAGGGGCAAAAGGTGGAGAGATGAGCACATTAAAATTGCTGCATTATGTGTGTCATTCTCAGGAGCCACATGGTGGGCTGAGTGTGCCTCTCCTTTTAGTGTTTTAGAAGTGGCCTGGCTACTAGCCAGTCCAAGGAGCTGTGATTCTTGGTAGTCTAAGAAGACTGTATAAGAAGGCTAGTTTCAGATTGACTCACTTTAGGGCTTATCTTTAGGGGCTAGATCCATGCTTGGCCTGCTCTGATGCATAACCAAATCCTCAGACCAGTGAGAGGTATAGGGTTCTGGGGTCTGCCTTGGATAGGAGAGGACTTCAGCAATCAACCTCCAGCAAGCGAGTATAACTTGGAAGCAATGTCCCAGACTAGTCGGAAGCTATGGGGTTTTCACAGTAGTGACTCTCTTGCTTCCATCTCTCCCCAGCCTACTAGAGTTTGATACTGAAACTAAGGAAGTGAAAGTCTTGATGGAACAGTTGAGATTCCCTAATGGAATACAGCTTTCTCCAGCAGAGGACTTTGTCCTAGTGGCAGAAACGACAATGGCAAGGATCAGAAGGTATGTGTGCTGGTGGCGGAATTAGCTTGCAGAGGTGTTTCTGCCTTGGGGAGATGAAAATACTGACTGACAGAGTCAAGGCGGAGTGGACACCCTCTGTCTTGGGCAGGAAGGGTCTCCAGGGGCATTTGTTCCCTCTGCTACCTCTCCGCTCTCCTGAGCATGGAGGTCTGTGTGTGGACTTGGAGCTAATATTCTACTTCTACTGCAGCCCAGGGCCTTCTCTGATCTAGCTAGGCATTTATTTTAGGAGGGCCTCTTCAGACAAGCAGTGCCTTCCTAAGCTTTATCTGGATTAACACGAGCCTCATCCTTGGCTAAACTTTCCTTAAGTTGGAGGGCTGTGGCTTAATACAAACTTGGGTGAATTTTTCAGATTCTACGTGTCTGGACTGATGAAAGGAGGGGCAGATATCTTCTCAGAGAACCTTCCTGGATTTCCAGACAATATCCGACCCAGCAGCTCTGGAGGATACTGGGTTGGCATGTCAACAATCCGCTCTAACCCTGGCTTTTCCATGTTGGATTTCTTATCAGAGAGACCCTGGATTAAGAAAGTAATTTTTAAGGTAATGAGAAACTGTAATTCCAATAAGAAAAGAAAATATATATAAATATTATTGCTTGATATTGATAGCCCTAAAGTATTATAGTTCTGCTTGTACTGTGATTTTTCCCTTTTATTTATCAGTTAAAATTTGTATAGTGAAACTTACTCTGAATTCAGTTTCTAGACATAATTATCAATGACATAGGTTAAATTCTTCACATTCTATCAACATTTTTGTCATGTCTATTCTAGTTTTACTTCCATTCACCTAATGTCCCTGCTTACCTCCCCTACCTTCTCTTCTGTGTTTTAAAATGAGTGTTGACTCTTTGCCCCTCTTTTTTTCTTTTATTGAAAATTACTTTTATTTTATATTGGTTTGTATAAAAAATTGGTATACATTGTTTTTCATTTTTTCTGTATGTTGTTTCATGCTTTCTTCTATTCACATTGTGTTTCATACAGTCATTCTATAATTGTGTTTTATAAAATTAATCATAATTTGTTACCTCTACTACCTCTCAGCCCTTGACCCCCTGCAGCAAGCATTTCAGGTCCTCCTCAGTTTCAGCAAGCAGAGTTGTGTCATCTGCATAATGCAGGTTGTTAACAGATCTTCCACCAATCCTGACGCCACAGTTCTCCTCATAGAGCCCAGCCTTTCGGATAATCTACTCTGCATACAGGTTGAAAAGGTATGGAGATAGGACACATCCCTGGCGTATACCATTCCCAATTTTGAACCATGTGGTGTTACCCTGCTCTGTTCTGATGACTGCCTCTTGGTCCAAGTATAGGTTTCGCATTAGCGCGGTCAAGTTTTCTGGGATTCCCATTCTTCTCAAGAGTCAGCCACAGTTTGTTATGATCCACACAGTCAAATGCCTTTGCATAATCAATGAAACACAGATAGACATTCTTCTGGTATTCTCTGCTTTCAGCCAAGATCCATCAAACTAACATCAGCTACAATATCCCTAGTACCATGACCCCTTCTAAGCCTAGCCTGGACTTCTGGCAGTTCTCTGCTGATGTGCTGTTCCAGTGGTTTTTGGATAATCTTCAGTAGAATCTTGCTTGCATGTGAAATCAATGCTATTGTTCTATAGTTTCCACACTCTGTTGGGTGACCCTTCTTTGGAATGGGAACAAATACAGATGTCTTCCAGTCAGTTGGCCAACGGGTTGTTCTTCAGATTTCTTGGCAGAACTTGGTGAGCACGTCCAGAGCAGCATCTGTTAGCTGAAATATGTCAATTGGTATACCATCTATTGCTGCAGAGGGTCAAGGACTGCAGTCTTCAGTATGGATTGAGGCTCAATGTCAAGAAAACAAAGATTCTCACCACTGGACCAATTGGCAGCATCAGGATAGACGGTGAAGAGATTGAGATTGTTAACAACTTTAATCTGCTTGGCTCCACGGTCAACACTTTTGGTACCAGTTGCCAGGAAATAAAAAAATGTATTGCGATGGGAAAGTCTGCTGTTAGGGACCTCTCCAGGGTACTGAAGAGCAATGATGTCACTCTGGAGACTAAGGTGCATCTGATACAGGCTATGGTCTTTGCAATCACTTGTTATGCATCAGAGAGTTGGACAGTGACTGGGAAGGATAGAAGAATTGATGCCTTTGAGCTGTGGTGCTGGAGAAGAGTATTGAATGTACCATGGACTGCCAAGAAAACAAACAGATTCATCCTTGAGAGAGTTAAACCAGACTGCTCCTTGGAGGCAAGGATTCTGGAACTTTGTCTGACATACTTTGGACATGTTATAAGGAGGGACAGGTCCTTGGAGAGGGGCATCATGATTGGGAGGTTGGAGGGACGGTGGAAGAGGGGAAGACCCTCTGAGGTGGATTGATTCAGTGACTGGGGTAATCAGGATGGGTGTGTCAGAGGCAGTGCAATTGGCACTGGATAGAGCAGGCTTTAGGGCTGTTGTACATAGGGTCGCTATGAGTCGCAAGTGACTCGATGGCACATAACAACAACAGCAACCGCAACTATGTCTCAGCGCTCCTGAGCATGTAGGTTTGTGAGTGGTCTTGTAGCCTAGTATTCTACCTCTTCACCTTTTCAGGTGCCCACCTGATCTTTCCTAATTCCTTGACCCCCTCACTTTGCCCACCAAACTCTGCAGTCCTGAGATATCCTACCCCACCCCACTCTCAGCCTTCTTCTCTTTCCTCTCCTCCCCCTTTGAACTGTTACACTCATCCTATTTATACAATAATGGTCTTACTCAGTATTTATCCTTATGATAAATATCCTTAGTTCACTCACCATAATACTCTCAGCCTTTGCCATGTTATATATAGGGTTTTTCAAAATCATTGCTCCTGAGTGCTACATACTATTCCATCATGTGTTTGTACCACAGTTTCTCAGTCTGTTCATTTCCTAATGAACATTAGGACTATTTCCATTTTCTTGGAATTGTAAATAACACTACTGTGAGCATCAGTATACAAATCTCCATTTGTGTCTCAGTTGTAATTGCCTTAGTGCATATTCCTAGCAATGGAATAGCTGGGTGTATGAAATTTCTATGTTCAGCCTTTTAAGGAAACACCAAACTGCCTTCCAGACTGGTTGGACCATTTTATAATCCCAGCAGCAGTTCATGGGAGTTCATTGCTTGCTTGCTGTCTTGTTAAATTTTGCTACTGCTACTTGGGTGAGATGGCATCTTATTGTGGTTTTGATTTGAGTTTCTCTAGTTGGCAGTGATTTTAAGCATCTCTTCATGCGTCTGTTGGCCATCTGAATGCCTTGCTTTTGGAAAAGTCTTTCCATGTCTTTTGCCCATTTTGTGATTGGGCTGTCAGTCGTTTTCTTATGGAAGCCCTGTAGGATTCTGAAAACTTGCATTATGAGACCCTTGTCTGAGATGGCATTGTTGTTTTTGTTATGTGCCGTCGAATTGCCTGCAGCTCATAATGACTCTATGTACAACAGCTCTAAACCCTGCTCTATCCTATGCCAGTCTTATTGTCTCTGACACAACTACCCCCATTACCCAAGTCGCAAGTCTTCCTTTCCTGTGCTATCCCTCCACCTTCCCAAGCATGACATCTCTCTCCAAGGACTGGTACCTCCTTGCAACATGTACCGAGTATGCCAGACAAAGCTTCAGAATCCTTGCCTCCAAGGAGCAGCCTGGTTTAACCCTTTCCAGGGTGAATCTATACATCTCTTAGCATTCGATGGTATATTCAACACTCTTCTCTAAGACCACAGCTCAATGGCATTAATTCTTCCATCATCCTTACGCATTGTCCAGCCCTCTGATGCATTGCAAGTGATTGCAAAGACCATGGCCTGTATCAAGTTTACCTTAGTCTTCAGAGTGACATTGTTGCTCTTCAGTACTTTTGAGAGGTCTCTGACAGCAGACTTTCCCAACACAATATATCTTTTAATTTCCTGGCTGCTGGTGCCAAGAGTGTTGATTGTGGAGCCAAGCGAACTAAAGCTGTTCACAATCTCAGTCTCTTCACCATCCATCATGATGCTGCCAATTGGCCCACTGGTGAGAATCTTTGTTGAGCTTCAGTCCATATTGAAGGCTGTAGTCCTTGACCTTCTGCAGCAAGCGCTTCAGGTCCTCAGTTTCAGCATTGCCAAATGTTTTTTCCCAGTCATTAAATTTTCTTTTTACTCTATTGGAAAAAGTTTTTGATGCACACAGGAACTTTAGAAGGTCTCATTCATCAATGTTCTTTCTTGTAGTTGTGCATTTCTGGCTATATGTGCCAGCCTCTTTATATCATAGGCTAGGCCTTCTAAGTTTGGTCCCATTTTGTCTTATGTTTTTTTATGGTTGGGGCTTTACTCCTTGGTCTCTTATCTACCTGGAATTGATTGTTGTGTATGGTGTGAGATGTGCATGCTGTGGTGAAGAGGCTGTCATTTCCCCATTTGATAGATTTTTTTCCCTTTTTTGAATACCAGCTGAACATAGGTAAATGGGGTAATTTCTGGGTTCTCCATTTCTGAGTTCTCATTTCTGTTCCATTAATTTATCTGTCATTTTTCCATGCTGTTTTAGTTACTACTTCTGTGCAGTAGGTTTTTAGATCAGAGAGTGCTGTGCTTCCCTCTTTGTTCTTGTTTTTCAGAAGTGCTTTGGTAATTCAGGGTCTTTTTTCTTTCCAAATAAACTTGCAAATTGCCTTTTCTATCTTTTTGAAAAATGAATTTGGTGTCTGTATTGGAATTGTGTTGAACAGGTTGCTTTTGGTAGGATTGTAATTTTCACTATGCTGAATCTTCCTATCCATGAACAGAGAACATTTTTACATTTACTTAGCTCTCTTAATGTTTCTTGCAGTAATATTTTATAGGTCTTTTTATAAAGATCTTTTGTGTCTATAGTCAGGTTTATTCCCAAGTATCTTGCTTTGTGGTTGGCTCTTGTAAATAGCATTGCTTTCTTAGTTTCCTTTTGTGTGTCTCCTTTGTAGAGGAATCACAATGATTTTAAATATAAATATCTTATATCCTGCCACTATACTAAATTGGTCTACTAGGTCTAAGAGGGTTTGGGGATTTTTTTGAGTCCTTGGGGTTTTCTGTGTACACTATCATATTGTCTGCATTATTTCAATGCTTTTTAATTTGTTGAGGCTTGCTTTGTGTCCTAATAATGTAGTCAGTTCTTGAATATGTACCATGTGCACTTGAGAAGAAAGTAAATTGAGATTTGGTTGACACAGTACCCTGAATACATCTACAAGGTCAAATCTGCTAATCTTATAGTTTAGCCAGGAAATTAAAAGATGTATTGTGATGGGAAAGTCTGTTGTTAGAGACCTCTCCAGGTACTGAAGAGCAATGGTGTCACCCTGGAGACTAAGGTGCACCTGATACAGGCCATGGTCTTTGCAATCACTTGTTATGCATCAGAGAGCTGGACAATGACTAGGGATGATAGAAGGAGAATGATGCTTATGAGCTGTGGTGCTGGAGAAGAGTATTGAATGTACCATGGACCGCTAAGAAAACGAACAGA